TGACAAAGCAAATGCTGGGAACCACAGACCTATTAACATAACTCCAGTCGTCTCCTGAATCATGGAAAAAGTGATTAAGAGCGGCATGTCTGACTATCTACTTAGAGAAAACCTCATCACAAAGTCTCAGCACGGTTTCATTAGTACCAGGTCTTGCGTTACTTGCCATTTCGACTTCTTCAGCCTTATCACTAGTAGCCGTGAGGCACGTAAAATCGTCATTCTTCTATACTTTGATAAATCAAAGGTATTTGAGAAGGCGCCACACGGTATTCCCTTTGATAAGCTACAATCTATTGGCATCCGTGACCCTTTACTTCATTGGCTAAAATCATTTCTTGGTGATCGGAGCCAAATCGTCAGAGTGAATTCTATGCAGTCTACACCTAGGCTCATAACTAGTGGAGTAGTACAGGGTAGTGTCCTTGGACCTTTGTCGTTCATAACTTATATTAATAGTGTATGCATGTGCTTCACTGCAGGGGAAACATTCCTATACACTGATGACCTTAAGGTTGCACACTCGTGTCACACCCAGGAACTGGGCAATACGCTACCCACTTCTCGACAAGAATTAGGTGAAGTTGCCAAATGGTGTGACGAGCCCCATCCCCAGTTCAACATTGATAAATGTGGTTGACTTAGCATAGGCAGCGATAACACAGAATCGTCTCTCAAAGTATGTGGACAAAAGCTACCTAGACGTTCTTCAGTGCTAGATCTTGGTCTTAGATATTCCAGTGACTTAACATTCTCTGGGCAGACGACTCGTATCACATCTAAGTCACGTAGACACCTTGTATGCATCGTCCATGACTTTTATAGCACTGAACCAAGGGTCCTACTCTACAGAGTGAGCATCCGCCCAATTTTAGAGTACTGCCCGTTTATCTTAAGTGGCCTTCGTGTAAGCGACAAAGGGAAAATTGAAGGAGTACAGCGCCGCCCTACACTGAGAACACTAGGAGCTGACTGTAGCCAAGACGACATCTCGAGATGCAACATGCTAGGACTGGAACCTCTCTGGAAGGGGTGACTTAGAATGAACCTTATATTTTACTATAAATTACCTGGTAAGCAAGTGCGTTCATGTGGCCCGGAAATTAAACTAGATGTAACGTCTACCCAATATTTACGTAGTCACAACCTATTGGCGGGAAGTGGGTGTTGTAAGATCAAATTGCAAAGAAACTTCTTCGTCAATAAGTTCACTCACATCTGGAATAGGCTTCCTGAGGAAATACGTACTGCGGGCTCATTATCCACCTTTCGATCTGCACTTGATAAACTCCTAACAGATGATGAGTTCATCACTCGCCTAGGCACTTTCTATACGTTCTGGGCTAATGAAAGCATGCTGGGACCTCCAGAAGTGTAGAGTAAAGCTATCACAAATCTCAAGTACTTTTTACCTCAATGGACTCATAAAGGGTGTTTGATTACCGGTCCACCTGGTTGGATTGTGCAGTACAGATACACAACCAGTGTTCCCTTTAAGTTTACCAACAGAAACTGCCTATCTAATAACTCGTGTGAACTTCATGTAATAAAAAGAAGGAAGATTCATTCTCATATGGATAAATTGAAGTCTACTTATTGCTCGAATGACTTTAAAAAGACAAGAACTTCTCTCCTCCCAGTTTGTTTTAGGTTGTATTCCATTTTCCAGTTTCTCCTTGCATTTTCTTTTCTCTTCTGTTTTCGGTATCAGCCTGACGAGAAAGTCCTAAACATTAGTTTGATCAAAAAGTATCAACTTACTGGAAATCCCACTTCGCACCAAGTACTGGAAACTGATGTTAGAGGTATCCAGCTGGCTCGCCACGATTTTCCTGTTTCTTGAACAGCTTCACAACCAACTCACCTCCCTACCAGTACCCTAAATACTACCACATACGAAACCCCAGGCACAATAACTGGTCTCAGATTCCTGGTCCGTGACAAATGCAGCGGAAATCTGGATAAACAACCCTACCCAAGAGATCACTTAACCTAACGGCAACACATCCATTATGATGCTATGCAACAGATTTCTCCAGCACTTCGTCCTGTGTCAATCCACCTAGTAGAAGTCGATTAACAGCCAATGTATCTCCTTGATAATGTTGCATACTTCAATGTGAAGTCTATGAAGTTTTACACGTGTGTAATATTCACCACTGTTGAACGACGATGCTTCCAGTCTTTAATTACTTGCACCACAACAAATGTTTTCAGTACTATCAATCTGAATTGCTGGAAAAGGTAACACTTGAAGAGTGAGAAACGCCTGAACATAGACATTCGCCTGGATTAAATGATTGTGTGGATACTTACTTATTTCTGAAATCACTGGAGCAAGTTATTGTTGATCAATAAATCTATGAACATAAGAATTGCTGTTAAAATAGACGTTTACCTGACGAAACACTTGGCCTGGTAGATGGGTTAACTATGTCAACTGCTCACAACGCAGACACAGAATATTGCGCCGTTTGATGTGGAGAAAGAATGGTGGGCAGAAATGACTTAGACTCAGAACGATGTGTATGTACTGTAAAGTGATATTTTTCTGCTATTCTCATAACATGTGGACTCTTGGTATCACGACAGAGTTTAATGTCCCCCCTCTGTATCGTTCGCTACTGCTAAAAACTTTTGTTTCTCTGCAATTATCAATTTGATGAGGCTTGCAAACTGGCTTCTCTCATGTTAACTTAGTAACTTGAAGACAAAGATATTTATTAATTTATTGTGAAAGAGGATGGTGAGTGGAGGTAACCGAAACTCATAAACAGTCTGCATGTACTGTGAAAAGATTTTCTTACTGTTCTTTTTATAACCTGCAGTCGCTTTTGACATCATGGCGAACCCTGATGCGATTGCTTCTATGCCATTCAGGACAGCTCAACTACTGGAGATTTCTTTTTTCCATTATCAATTTGATGATGTCTGCACACCGGCTTCTTTCATGTTAAACTCTCAATTTGAAAATGAAGTATTAATTTATTCATTCGAGATGTGCGAACTGTCATTTCTTACCACCTGGAGATGCAAAATAAAAAATCACAGGGCAATTCATGCCAGACCACATGGTCTTCAGGATCCTTGGCTCCAATCGCAGTTGCATCTAGAAGTGTTGGAAATAAATGCTGTTTGCTCCAAAATATGCGGGTTTTCTGACTTCCTACAACCACCCACCTGGAAACGAAGCTGTCCGAAGGTGACTTTATCTGAGGCACCAACCCCGTAGTCTTATTGAATGGTTTAATGATGAAACCTAATACATTCTCCAACGTAATATTATAGCAGTAGCTGCATACCGTTGCATCTCTGGCTACATTCGTTCAAATGATTCTGTTCACAACATCATGGGCTTACATAGTTTCACGATTCTATATGACACCATATAATACTGGACCCAAGTTCCCCCCGTCCATCTTAGTACTAAACTCCAGCTTGCAGTGCCATCTGTAGACGCCATAAGTTTCTTCAATACTCACATATTTTCGGCCTCATTCGTGCTCACCATTCTATATGCAGCTCACTCTTACGGGTTGTGCAACTCGCTATTGCCAGTATACCTCTCATCCCGAGTGACTATACCGGCGTCAATTTTCGCCGCTTTTGTGTAGAGAAATGGCCTTTGCCCGACACCTGTGACCTGTGATATCAAAACCGTTGCATACTCCGGTAGACTATATACGGCGCAACGACCTACTCTTTCACAACTTTTTCAGCTTAACCGATCTAGGGCAGTATCAGATATTGTTTGTAAAAATAGCGCATGTTCGCATGGTTCATTATCCGAAATACATTAATTGTCATTATTGTTAATTCAGATGTGAACCAAGCTCCAGCGGTTCGTAGTGCGACAGGTTTGTCTTTTGGTGGTAATGATTTTATGTGTCACTTTCTTCACCATAGGCCGGGCGGTTGTGAGCTATATGTTTATATCAGTTATCTCACACTCTAGAACGTATTATACATCCTGGAGCGGTGGGTGACGAAATATGGTTAGGTTGTACTTAGGTGATGGCGGACTATCGTCAGCAGCGGAGTCAGAGTTAAAGGGAAGCAGATCACGGTCAGGAGCTCGAAAGTCAGCTGAATAAAGGTGCTTGACACCCCCAGCGACGTGAGAAGCAGAAGTGAAAAACTGTGATGGGACACTTCGCGGCATTGTTAACCCATCATTGAATGTCGCTGTGGAACTTTGAATGGTGCCCGAGTTAAATAAATAAGTATTTTTGTTCTCATATTAGTAGTTTAACGTGAAAGAAGCCAATTTACAGGCATCGTCACATTGATATGTGTTGGAAAACGTACGAGATTCTACAGGACCTGAATGGTAAGGAATGAAGGTCAGTAAATTCGGTTAAAGGCATCAGAAGATTACATAAGTTGTGAAATGGGCAAAAAATATCCCCTTTCAGCATAAACAGAGTGTTAAAGTTTGGGTCGTTTTCAGCCATACTTTCTTTCTTCACCATCAGTGTCTCCAAGGTCGGGAAAGTTCCAACTTTCTGTTGCAAGTAGTCAACATGTTTGTTTTGTCTTCGCAATACCCTATTACACTGAGTAAACGTATATTTTACCATAAATTCTTATGCTCATAGCTTCGGAGGCAAAAAGACCCTACACTGACAATCTAAGGAATCCGTAAGTTTCCACATAGTCATGTTTTTTCCACTAGTGTGGGTGGCTGGTGCCTGCAGCAGCGAGTATTTGCAGCGGCTGCGAAGCCATCCTGTGGGCCTGGACGAAAAGCGGTAATAATAATAATTTACTCCTAAATTTGCAGGTGCATATCATTTTTACGGATAAGGTTATAACAATTAACGGTGGAAAATCTCCGGTAATATTTTTAAAAGAATGTTTATCATCTCCTTTTCACTCCGGGTAGTGAGAATCTCCAGTCTGAAAAGGAAAAACCTCACACAACATACAAACGGTGCGCTTTAATCTAAATTTGAAATTTGGTTATGCTTTTAGGCTATCTGGTAGAAACGATAGTCATTATTATTATTATTTTATTATTAGTCCCTTGGGTTCCTAGTGGAACATAGGGCTTCAGTAGCACGCCTCCAGTGACCTCTGTTCTCTGAGATCTTTTGAACCTGGTTCCACGACAGCCCAGAAGCTCTCATTTCCTCCTCGCATGACCTCCTCCATGTCACCCTCGGCACCGACGTCCAACTCGTCGCTTCCCATGGGGATTCCACTCGAGGGCCTGACGCGTGATGTCCTCAGTCGGCCTTCTCAGTGCATGGCCAATCCATCTCCACTTCTTCCTGCATATTTGTTGCGTGATAGGTTCTTGGTTGGTTCGTTGCCAGAGTTCCTTGTTGCTTATTTTTTCTGGCCATCTGATCTTCAGCAGCGAGCGTAAGCAGTTGTTGATGAATGTCTGTAGTTTGTTGGAAATGCCTTTCGTGACGCGCCAAGTCTCTCAACCATACAGAAGCACTGACTTGACTGAGGTTGGTGTTGAAAATCCGGATATTGTTCCACATGCTGAGTGCAGAAGATCTCCACACTGGTTTCAGGCTAATCAACGCCTGTCTTGCTTTTCCGATTCTGACTTTGACGTCCTCGTCCGTCCCGCCTGTAGTTGAAACAGTGCTTCCTAGATAAGTGAAGGAGGTTACTTCCTTCAAGTTTCTCCCGTTGACGGTGATTGGAGTTTGTTGTTGTTGTTGATGGTGGTGGTGCGGTATCTTCATCACCTCTGTCTTCTCTATATTCACCTGAAGTCCCGTCTTAGCTGCCTCTTCTGTCAACTTGTTAGTTTTTGCCTGCAGATCTTCAAGTTTATGTGACATTAGGCATAAGTCATCGGCGAAATCCAAGTCTTCTAGGTTCTTTTCCGTCGTCCAGTGTATCCCCCTCTACTCACTGCCTACTGTTTGCTGCATGATCCAGTCCACCACAATAAGGAATATCATGGGGGATAGTAGGCAACCTTGTTTCACTCCTGTCTTCACTTCAAAGGCATCACTGAGCTTCCCATTGTGGATTACTTGGCATGTGGCATCTTCATATAGTTGTTGAATGAGGCGGATAGAGGTTTGCGGTACTCCGTAGTATTGAAGCAGTTTCCAAATTACTTCTCGGTCGACGCTGTCAAAGGCCTTCTCAAAGTCGATGAAGTTGAGGCAGAGAGCTGATTGCCATTCTATGCTCTGTTCTATGATGATGCGAAGCTTTACAATTTGGTCGGTACATGATTTGTACTTCCTGAAGCCTGCCTGTTCGGGTCGTAGTTTTGAATCCAGTGCATCCTTCAGCCTCTCCAGGTTGATGCGGCTTAATATTTTACTTGGGTGGATAGGAGAGTGATTCCGCGCCAGTTCTTGCAAGCACTGAGGTCTCCCTTCTTCGGCAGTTTGACAAGGTAACCCTTCTTCCAATCGTCAGGTACCTTCTCTTCCCTCCACACCTTCTGCAATAGTGGTGTGAGCATGTCCGCTGTTGTCTCTGCATCTGTTCTCAGTGCTTCTGGCGGTATTCCATCTGGTCCTGCTGCTTTCCCGCATTTCAGTAGCTTTATGGCGTTCAGGACTTCCATTTTCGTTGGGGGATTAATGTTCACTTGTAATTCAGCGGCTGCAGGTGGTATTTCTGGACGAAGTGCAGGTGGTGGTCGATTCAAGAGCTTCTTGAAGTGGTCGGCCCATCGTTTCCTCTGTTTCTCTTCTTTTGTAATTAAATTTCCTTCTTCATCTTTTATTGGTTTCATCTGTGTTGGTCTCTTCCCTGATAGCAACCTGGTTATTTGATACAATGTCGTCAAGTCTCTCTTACCTGCAGCCTGTTCTGCTTCACTTGCCAGTGTTTCGTAGATGTGTGTTTTGTCTTTCCGTGCACTTTTCTTCACTTCTTTGTCCAGTGTTTTATACATTGTGCTCAGTTCCTCTTGTCGTTGAGCATCCTTGCACTGGTTTATCTTCTGCTTCACCATCCTCCTCTCCTCTATCAGCTTCCAGGTATCCGTCGAGATCCATTCCTTGTCTTCCACCTTCTTCCTTCCTAATACTGTTGTGCAGGTTTCTTTCCACATAGCTTTCAAAGACTTCCAGTGTTCTTCTACACAGGTTTCTTCAGGGATGTCCCTCGACGTCTCCCATTTTGTCTTGATGGCTGCTTTGAAGATCTCCTTTGTAGTTTCATCCTTCAGTTTCCGAGTGTTGTACTTGAATTGAGGTCTATCACCAGCTTCCTTGAAGGCTTTTAACTTGATTTCGAAGGTTCCTTGCACTAGATAGTGGTCTAAACCTACATCTGCTCCTCTTCTTGACCTTGTGTTAAGTAGACTGCGTCTCCATTTTCTTGAGATTGAGATAAAGTCGATTTGATTTTTAGTGTGTCCATCTGGTGAAGTCCATGTCGCTTTGTGGATATCCTTGTGCCTGAACACACTGCCTCCAATCACCAAATCGTTGAATGCGCAGAATTCTGCAAACAATTCTCCATTCTCATTCATTTCACCTAGCGCCTCTCGACCCATGGTTAGTTCTCTTCCCGTGTTGTCCCCTCCCAGTTTGGCATTCATGTCGCCCATCAGAATTTTGATATCGCCAACTGACGTCTTGTCCAGTGTTGATTGAAGTTGTCTGTAGAATTCCTCCTTTTTCTCTTGCTCTGCATTATTTGTAGGTGCATAACATTGTATGATTGTGACCTTTCTTCCTTTTGAGTTGAACCTTGCTGTCATGATCCTGGAGGAGATTGGTTCCCACTGCAAACGATAGTCATGTCTCATGAATATGTAAAAGCATTACTCAAAAAGAAGAGGAAGTAACTCAGCAATTTCCTACTCGAAAAAAAGCAGTGCCGGCTAACTTACTGAAGTGCTTTAATTTGAAGGGTCATATATATTGAGCCAAGTACCGCGGCAGATTCAGTGTGTTTTTCAAAGGACATGCATCTCCAGGTTTATTGAAACACGAAGATGTATTACATAAACAATAATAAATAATACTGATAACAATATATCACCTTCCTGATGAAACGATCTATTTTTGTTTGTTCGCGCTAAATTGGACATATGTCCACAGCAGCCCCCATGGTGCTCTTCATTGTCCTTAATAGCTCGGCGAATACCGTCCAAATTCCCGTGAGTTTCGAGATTGAGTCGAAGAATTCGCTCCCGTAGATAAAGTTGTAAATATTTTTCAGCATATATGCCGTTCACAGCTGCAGTGGATGAAATGGTGCCAGTCAATGAGACACTGGATTATCAAATATCAAAGGACTTCAAGGAAGTATCTTCGTTTGATGCTATAAGGATGTCCATCACAGGTCGCATGATTGCAAATGAGGTGGTTGAAGACGGGTGCAGTAATATTTAAGAATAGTACCTATAAACTATCGTAATTCCAGTCTAGTTCCAGGTTTCCAAGATCTTATTTGCAATAAGAACAGGGAAGGCAGACAGCGGGGTACCAGGGCACAGGGAGGTTAATTATATGTAAATTTTAACTTGTGTACATGGTGCCATGCCTACTATGAAGTGTATAGTCCTAGGTTGCATGCTTGTATTCTTACTAAGAATATGCTATTTACCGCCTTCTGGAAATGCCATTTTTGAGGGGCTACGTCTGAGGATGTCTCCATTAGTCGTGGCAGTAAGTGGGAGGTATAGATGAGCGATTAAATTAATTAAGCAGTCGTAATTGTCCCTAGAGTGTAACGGGGAAGAATGAATTTACCGATCAGCGTATGTTACCTCATACATTTAAGGGGCCTATTATACCGAGCGTTCTGGAACATAGTTGTGCTTAGCTCTGTATGTTGGGGAGCTTTCCGGAGGATAGGGACCTTTCTAACATACGACTAAACTGGATACTTGAGCCCAAAGCCTTGATTTCAACAGGAAGATGGTTTCATATTTGATAGGGAAGAAGTTAGCTCGGATGGATGTTCTAAAAGATCTCATTCCGACATTGCAGGCTTGATTGAGAGAACTGTAGCAACCTTCTAGCTTGGAAGGACTTCCTCACTAGCCGTAAGGGATGTGGCGCATAAAATCTTGAACAAAAATGTAAGGTTAGTCCTAAGACGCCTCATTCAAAGTGGTCGCAGATTAAGCGACGTAAACCGATGCGCATAATCCTGACCACACTCGTAGCCAAGCAGTCTGGATGTAAAGTACCTCTGGATGTCCATCCTTAGGTCTGTCGTCTATAAGGATGTTCCCTAAAATAAACGAACAGTATTCTAACGGGGGTCGGAGGCAAGTCGTGTATAGCAATAATTTGGCTTCAAGGCAGTGAAAGTTACGAATAATGTGGCCTAGTAGTATTCTGGACTTACGAGTTTGTGTTGCAACATGTCCAGAGAATGTGAAGTCGTTAGAGTAACGGAGCCCTGATTCAAGGACGCTATGGAGACTAGGTAGCATCACAGCTTACAAAGACAACCGTAGACGAATGGGTGGTGCTCGTAAGCATTTCCAGCCTCACTTGTCTAAGTTGGAGTGGAGGTTCCATGTGGCGGACCAGGTGGTTTCTAGGTCAAGTTCGCTCTGTACTAGCCCTTGGAAGTGGGGCAGGTCGTCGCATGAGAATGTTTGAGCAACCTTTAGATTGTCAGTAAGCAAAAACGGTTTGCCAACCGAAAAGCAATCGCAGAGGTCATTAACATAAAGGGTGAAAAGGAAGGGACCCCGCACGCTACCTGGGTTTAGAAAGCTGAGAATCGATTTTTCCGACTTGTGAACGGTTACAAAGAGAAGATCTAATCCAGCCTAATAAGAGCTTAGTAAGTTTAAGGGCGATCGAATGCCCTGAAGATATCAAAATTAAGGACAATGACTAGCCCACGTTGATCACGGCTAGCGGTCAAGACGTTGGAGAAATCTAAGCGGCATTATCGCGACTCCAAGTATCCATACTGACTAGATGTGACGACACTGTTGTTGAGCATGTGTTGAAGAATATCTTCTTTGACTACTTTCTCCATAATTCTGGACACATCGCATAGCATTTACAGGTCTGTAGTTACTAACTTCAATCACTGAGCCAGGTTTGTGCCTTGGTATTATGAAGGACATCGTCCATAAATCGCGGTATTTAGAAGTCTCCATGGTTATGGAGTATAGTTTAAGTAGTAATAACGAAATATCAGGACCCCCACTTTTGAAGACGTGTGAAGCTTCTCCGTCAATACCTATGCTCCCAGAAATCTTAAGCGTTTCAGTGGCTCGGTCAATGTTAACACAGGCGAATTCAATGCTGCCAATAAGTTCCAGTGTAGGAGCGAACAGTCGGTCGCTAATTTTAACGAATTTCACATTGTTAGCTGAGATTACTGACGGTAAGTAGCCACTAGGGAACTTGTTATTGAATTATACACTTAGTTCTTCGGGCTTATTGTAGACCTTGCCGTCATGAGTGAGGAAAAAATAT